AATATGTATAAATAAACTTGTGTTTAAGTAAAATTATACTTATAAAATTTTAGGTATTTCTTTTTTCTCGTATAATTTTTATGTAACTTCAAATTTTTTATGGAAAATTAAGGATTAATAAATTTTATACTTATATTAATTAATTGTTTTATATTATTTGTGTTTCAACTGACCTGCCCACTTCATTGGGAACTTTGATACCAAAGCGACTGGGTTCTGAGCCATTGCCTACCCAGAAATAAGCGTCTGGTCCGCCACCATCATAATGCAAATTTGGAATGTAGATCGTTTTGCTGTCTAGAATACTGATGTTGCCACTGCGAAGGCCGTGCGCCAATCTCGAAAATTCAGGAAGTACTTGCAATTTCGGTACCTTCAGGTCAGGCGGTATGAAAACGTCACCAAAATCGACCTGGAAAATGTGGAAATAGCATATTTATTTCTTATGCACGATTTCAACTTAATTCTTTATCACATTCTAGTTACTTTAGAGAGAGAGAGAGAGAGACTGACTTTTTAGTAAGTAAGTTTTTCATATTGTTTCCCAATTACCTTTTATATTTTATATTGATTTTTAATTTTTATTCAATTTAATAATTTAATTTCAATAATTTACAAATAATCTTATAATTTTAAGTAAATTATATTAAAAAAATGTGCATGATAACTAAAAAGCTACTTTTACAAAAAAGAAAAAAACATGAGTAACATATGTTAAATCGTATTATACATATTATAAATATTTTTTATAATCTTTATATTAAAGTTATTTTATCAAAATTGTCCCGGCAAACCCACTAATTTAGTCTTTCAAAAGCATGCATTTATATCGTGATGTCGTTGAAAGAGTCAATCTATCATCCCCTACCTAGCGTTCGAGTTGACGTGCCGATGAGGGGTTTTGGCTCGTTTATATTCTAAGTACCGTCAAACGTCTTAGTAAGGGACATGAGGAAAGAAGGAAATCGGGAAAAGAAAGAAGAGAGAAAGAGAGAGAGAGATAAAGGAAAAGAGGACGGCAGAAAGTAAAGAAGCAAGTTATCGGTCGAAGGTTCGTAAAATCCAAGAAACCGATTCCACTCTCCGCACAGCGAGCAGGGACTACATCCGTCCTCTTTCTCTAGGGAGCGTTTTATGGAAGAAAATTCAACGTTCACGACGATTTCTCAGCTCATTCCTCGAACAAATCTATTCGTGAATGGCGAAATAGCGAGGTTATATTATACCAGCCTTCCTCGAGCGGATTTTCTTCGTTTTCTGTCTCGCGAGAATAATATAATCGAGTTTCTGCAAAAAGGAGATCCTCCTTTAAAGAGCTTTCCTACATAAGCAAACTGCTACCTCAGTTTTTTTGAGATCAGTCTATATAAATATATAATAAATAACAGGCATAAACCAATAGACATAAACGTAATAAACGTTTATTAAATATTGTGCATAATTATTTTTGCATGAGAGAACTTATATGTTTTTTCATGTAATTTATTATTTTCATACAATTTATTATACATAATATATAATGATATTTTTATATTAAGTATTTTTATAAATTTCTTCAATCTTGTGAATATAATGGTTAACTTCTTGTAACTCGTATCTTATAATTGTATCATAATACGTTTATGTGCAAACAGAAAAAAATTAAAACAATATAAATACTAATAAATATTTACTACTTTATAAATATTATAAAGTATAAATTATAAATATTAGTCGAATATATTAGTCGAGTATATTATAAATATTAGTCGCGATCCTTGCTCTTTGCAATTTTATAATCAGCAACTAAAATTGTAATTAAAATTGAAACAACAAGTTTAATTGGGTTGCTAAAACAGAAATTGGATAAATGATAGCATCTCTATATGATATTAAATCAGGGAAGTGTGTATGTGTGCGAGAAATCTTAGCCCGCAAATAGTTCGCTAATTAAGATTACGTCTTTGAAATCGCACTGAGGTATGATTTTCCTTAGAAACACCTTTCCGCGAGGAATATGCTCTGGAAGTTGCAGAGTACACTTTGCAGAATTCTGCGGTACACAAATCAACGGCAGCGGAGTTTCTTCAGTTTTGCTGAAGTTCCTTTGTGCGATATATGGCATGGCGGCAATTTCATCTCTAACAAGCACAACCGGCAAAATGGCTGGAAAATTTGACGTTTGCACGTACCGACTCCATCATTTACATTTTCATTTCCGGGAAATACTTTACTCACATCCTTTGAAGTCTAAAAGCCCTTCAGCTCCTCGTAATTAATTCTCTCTCCAATACGGATTGCCTTTCTTAACAAGTTACCAAAGATACTAAAAATCCCAAAATATTAAATAAATACCAGATCGTTCTTCCATTTTCCAACAATAAGATTTCAATTATGCTCTTATAAAAATTGTTATTACTGAGAGAAAACGTAGAAAATGATAAGCACAAACGTTAACTAAGGTATTTTCAAATATCATATAATATATACAATGGTATCATAACTTATGATTTTAATAAGCAAATATTAATTTAATTCCTTCCATTAAACATGTTTTAACGTCAAATTTGAATTTCGCTTTACCCCAGTCTCGATTTGTGTGATTTGCGAATTAAACATATACGTAATTATTACGTTGTAGAAGTTATTAATTAGCAATTAATTTGTGATATGCGGTTGATCATATCTAGATGTTACGCGATCTTTGTAGAAACGATTTATAAATAGAGTATAAGAAATTCTTCGATTTTTCACAGATCGTTTTGGGGCTAAATCAACATCACGCGGTCGCCCACTAATTTCATCATTAATAATAATTATTATCGACGAGTTGGGATAAACTCCCTTGAGACTCCAAAATTTGCATGCGCATTAATCCCATTTCGTTTAAGGGATCGTCAATCATACCGCCCTCGACTGGCTGATGGGCTCGGTGTATGTTGAGCCCAGAAATGTTCTGTACGAATGAAGTACGGGGGCTGTTAATGGCATTTTGAATGGAGTATACTTAAAATTGGCCTTGCAACTGCCACCCCCCCCCCCCCTATTATAACCGAATGAAGACTACAATTAGCTATACCATTATTTTAAGGAATTAGTAAATATTTAACGTTAAGTTCGAAATGTTGCCTAGAAAGAATATTTCATTGCTAGATAAAAAAATCGAATAAAATATAAAATTAAAATTCTATAAAAAAATTAAAATATTAGTTTCATCGTAGAATAATATTTGTTGCGATACCGTTTCTTCAATAATTTTAGTATAAGTCTAATCGATAACAACCAAACACTGCAAGTTCCGAACTGAATTTACGCTGGTAACTTCGACTGATTCCGGAGACTGCGGTAATAGCTCTTTGTGGAACGACAAGAAATTATTCCATTCAGCGACATTAACCTCCTACGTCGACGCGTATATCGACAGTAAATTCGATAACACCTACGTAGCTTCCCTTGGATTATTATGGATAGCCTTTGGTATTAAACGATGATGTAGCGAAATATGCGTACTTTCTATTTGCCGAAATAAACGCCCACCTGTCGACTTGTTGATTCGCATCCCACGTCACAACTTATTATAGACTAAATGAAAATTCATTGATTATAAAATATATAGTTCTCATTAGAGAGAGA